TCGTTTTCACATATCTTTAGGGACCCTCGCTTGAGCCCTCGGTTGGTTTTCGATATTACATCTCTTTTGTAGATGCGTGTACCAGACATACGTGGGTTTACTTGTTGAAGAATAAGTCACAAGCTATAATTGTCTTTAGTCTATTCAAGAGCATGGCTGAGACTTAATTCTCACTGTCAATCAAGGCTATACAAAGCGATTGGGGTGGTGAATATAGGAACTGGACAGCTGAGTTAGCTCGTGCAGAAATTTTACATAGAGTCACATGTCCTCACTCATCCGAGCAAAATAGAGTTGTTGAGCGTAAGCATAGACACCTCATTGAGTTGGCACTTGTGTTTCTAGCACAAACATCTCTTCTAATTAAGTTTTGGTCATATGTTGTTACCACTGCAGCATATCTGATAAATCGTCTACCAAGTAAAGTGCTGAATAATGTTTCCCCATTTGAGAAGCTATTTAACAAGAAACCCGATCACACAACCATGCGAGTCTTCGGTTGTAGATGTTTTCGACATCTGCGAGACTTTCAACCTCATAAACTGATGCCTCGATCTCAAGAGTGTACATTTCTAGGCTATAACTCTCAGCATAGAGGTTTTCAATGCCTTGGAGGTAATGGTCATATCTTTATTAGCAGATATGTTAAATTTGATGAGTTTGTGTTTCCCTTTGCAGCTGCTAAACAGGATGATGTTCACCGCATGGTTTCATCTTCACGATCAACATCGCTAGAAGTTGTTCCTCGAAGACATAGACTATGTCCTACTACCGTGGCTCCAATTCTGGAACATCCTAGTACATCGACATCTCAGACAAGCTCATCTGAGAATGAAGTGGCTCATGGTAATGAGTTCAATAATGAAATTGAATCGTCATATCACTCGACTCAAAATTTACATCCGAGTAGTTCTCCTATGATTAGTGCTGAAGAAGTTAATGAGTCATCCCAGCCTCCAGTAGAAGTTGCTGATGGTTCTGATCAAGTTCCACTACCCAATACTCACCCTATGGTTACTCGAAGTAAACATAGGATTTTCAAACCTAAGGTATTACTTACTATAGAAGATAGTGACATTCCTACTGATATTAGTCAGGCTATGAAGTCGAGTCAATGGACTTCTGCAGTTCATGATGAACTTACTGCTTTACAACGAAATGGAACATGAACGCTGGTTCCATTGCCAACTGGACGAACAACAGTTGGATGCAAGTGACTGTTCAAACTGAAAAAAATCCCAATGGTTCAATTCAACGTTACAAAGCAAGGTTAGTGGCAAAGGGATTTCTACAAGTTCCAGGACAAGACTTCAAGGAAACCTTCAGTCCCGTGGTCAAGTTCCCAACTCTAAATGTTATCCTCTCCATAGTTGTATCAAACAAATGGCCACTTCGACATGTGGATGTAAATAACGCTTTTCTCCATGGTGACCTGTCTGAGGAAGTCTTTATGCAACAACCGCTTGGATTTGAGCAGTTAGCTGAGGATGGGACTATGCATGTCTGTAAGCTGCATAAGGCTTTGTATGGGTTGCGTCAAGCTCCTAGAAACTGGAACAACAAACTGAAAGATAGCCTGATACAGCTGGGGTTTCTTGTGTCAAGAGCAGATGCATCTATGTTCGTTTCACTTACTGAAGGGGAAATAACCTATATACTTGTTTATGTCGATGATACTGTGATCACTGGTCAGTTGGTTACTACAATTAAACGAGTGGTTCAGTCACTCAAAATCAATTTCTCGTTAAAAGACCTTGGTGAGTTGAATTATTTCTTGGGGATTGAAGTCCAACGCAGTCCACAGGGTCTTATGTTGTCTCAAAAGAAGTTTATTTCAGAATTACTAGAGAAGTCGAACATGATGAAGGCAACTTCTACCAGTACACCAATGGTGGTTTCAAATAAACTTCAAAAGGATGTTGGAAAACTTATTGAAGATGCTCGAGAATTTCGAAGTATGGTTGGTGCACTGCTTTATGCATGTCACACAAGACCTGACATAGTGTATAGCGTGAGCAAGGTTGCTCAATTTATGCACGAACCAAGCGAGACTCATATGCAGGTTGCCAAGCGTATTCTAAGATACTTAGCTGGCACAGTTGAGTATGGTTTGCTCTTCAAGCCCTCAAGGGAAGCACTAAGAATCGTTGCTTTTGCGGAAGTGGATTGGGGTGGTTGTGTCGATGATCGCAGATCGATGTCAAGACATTGTGTTCTACTTGGTGGTAACATGGTGTCCTGGAGTACAAAGAAACAGAAGGTTGTCTCCAGGTCGACCATGGAAGCCGAATATCGCAGCCTTGCAGATGCTGTTGCAGAGGTTACCTGGATAGATGCATTGTTGAATGATATTGGAGTAACTCAGCAGGAAAAACCAATCATTTGGCTTGATAACACGAGTGTCATATCGTTAAGTGCGAATCTGGTTCATCATGCAATCTAAACATGTTGATTTAGATGTGCACTTTGTCAGGGAAAAAATTGCTGGAAATCAATTATGTGTTAGTTATGTCCCTGCTGAACATCAGCTAGCAGATGGATTTACAAAGCCCTTATCAAAGATAGCCTTTTCAATTTTTCGAGAACAGGTCAATGTGTGTCTTAAAAAGGAAGAAGGAGAGGAAAAGCAGGAGGAATGTTGGAAGAATGCTCGAGTTCAGACTTAAGCATGGCGTGCATGGAGAAGATTCAAGAAGTTGTAATTAAGCTCATAGTTAGTAGCGTACACTGTGTTACAGGAAATCAAATCTGTAGGCTGTTAGGGTGTTGTTATGCGGTTATATTTTTTGTTAAGCAGATTACTTCTTAGCTCAGAAATCAAATGCTATATAAGTCATGTATACTTGCACTGAGATATCAATGAAATGGCAGTAATCGTTTTCTGAGTATATACTAAATTCTTAACAAAGCTGCAATATGTTTGATTGTGTTTCTGGTGCAAACAACTTGAATTTGTCAGGCACATGTCTGTCAACCAATTACCTATCGAAAGACGTTTAAAACAGCACAGTGTTCCCTGCAAATGGTACTGAAATCCTATAAAACTCTTGTTTACTCCGTACTCCTCGGTGGTATTAGATATTTGTTGATGTTGAATTGTATCGAGGCATGCCGTGTTTTATCTAATTTTTCAAATAATCAATGTTTCATGGTGCTCTGCGCATAGCTTGTCACCAAGATCTAGCCATGGTGAAGAGAAACAACAGAATCCTGTGAATTATCGTAACTGCAAGGATGAAAATCAAGAGTATTACGAAGACGAAGAGAAGGCATCATCTCTGCCAGAGTTCAAGTTTGCTCACTTCTTAAGACGATGGATCTCCCACACCAGATTGTGTGGTGCTTCGCGGAGGATGTTGGAAGTCCGAAGCCATTCTCCAAGGTTCAATATGCACCGTTGAGGAGTTTCTGATCAGCCACCCAAAAAAATGATGGCTTTCGCACTGCATTGTGCCATTGGTCTGATATTTTGTTTGTTAATGTTTTCTATCAGACAATCTGGATGTCAGTGAAGAGTCAACCACTTGTTTACCAGGACTAGTTTAATGTAATTGTTTACTTAGCAGGATGTATATGGAGCTTTTTTTTTTTTCTTTTTCCGAAGCTGAAATGATGGGCACCCAGTTTCCGACGCCTACATCTTGTTCTTTTACTTTATTTTTCATTGCTGTTGCAATTGAACTTGTTAGTCAATATCTCTAACAAGGAAGCAAGGATAAAGGTTTTCATGGGCAAATCGGGTCAAATTTGGCCGACAATAATTGCTAAAATATTAATTCAATTCAAGGTATTTTTTTATACGATGAATTCGAATTTTAATATTTTTTAGATCCGATTTCAAAGTTTCGCTCGGACTAATTCGAACCGTTCCGCGTCGTACACCCGATTTTAGTGGGTAGATCTCCGAACGATGTTTTTTACATTAACAAAGACTCGTACTTGAGAGTTGCTTAAGCATATCATTTACATCAGAAATATCATCTACATAAGAAATATTATTTCTGATAAATATTCAGAAATTGGTTTTAACTATTTAAAGAACATTAAAATAGTCTACCAATAATAATTTTGCTTACCACAATTGGTATCAGGTTGGATCCATAAGCGTACTTCTAGTCTTTCATTGGACCAAAAGATTTCCTTATTTTCTTTCAACGAAGTTTCCGTTTCCTCGTTATCATTCACCAGTAAAGAAAGAAGAAAGAAAATGCAGGGAACAGAGTTTAAATCTCTGATGTAAGCTTCTTTTTACATATAACATTCTTCTTCTTCTTTGTGTTGTTTGTTTTAATGGTTTATCTATATTCCATTTCTGATCTTATGGAAGGAAACAATATGAAGAATTCTCTTGTTTTCATTCCAAGAAAAAGGGAAATAAAGTGAACTGTTGAATCTGTTCCATTAGATCCTTACGGTTTCAGTTTGTTTTTCTTGATACGAATATATGTTTGATGCATTGAACTTGGTTCAGTTTGTTTGTAGAGAAGCGAAATGTTAAATACAATTATTTTGGGTGGTGTCTATCGAAATTTTCTATCATTTTTACATCCAAGTTCAAGATAGCCCGAAAAGAAACATGTTCCTTTTTCCCCTCCCCAGGAAATACTACGAAGAAAACGATGGTGGAGAGCACGAGGAAATAGGAAAGAAACTCAAGGAAAAAGAATCTGGAAGCATGATTGATGAGATAGTTGAGAATTTCCGGTGCATGAACATTGCCAAGCGTGAAACATATAAAAGAGGTAAATAAGGATGACATCTTTTCTCCCACTTTCTGTTTGTTATTTTGTTCCTTAGAAAATAAAACTTCTATGTCAAAGTTACTTGTCTCCGTGGCCAGTAAGTTGCCTTGGTGGCCGCTTTCCCGTGCTAATCACCAATGCTCGTCCATATGGGCTACGGCATATGTCTCGGCATTTGGGGGGCTGACTAACCTATCAGCCTCAGATTTCCTTGTAGGCAACTAGGATATTACACTAGTTGAACTATCATTGCAATAATCAACACCATTTTATTTGTGATGTTTTAGACCAAACTGTTGTTCTGATTGATGTATTCTTTATGTTATTTGGTATATAGATTATATCCACTAGCAGAATGCACTCCTTACTCCCCAGCAGAGAAGTAAAGCCAGGCTCACAAATCATGACATTCCAGGTTATCATTAGTAAGCTACTAAGCTATACCTTGTAAACAGCCAGTGTGCGTTTACATGGAATGGCTTGGGGCAATGCATTTTAAAAACAATTTGGTACACCTTGTGTGCAAGCTCTGAGCTCTCACAGTTGATATGGTTATTTCATGAAGATCTTCGCGAGGCACAGCATAGTCTCTGGAGGCAAGAGCAGAAGAGCAGAGCAGCTAAGATAGAGAGACAGCTCAAAGCAAGAAGGGAGCTCGAGGCACTGATCAAGGAACAGTTGAACAGGTTCCATGCACATTACAACCAGGCTTTGGTCCCGACTCATCTCGAGGATGTGTCTAAGCTCCTTATGCCACAATGGGCGGCTCCCCAAGAGCTTGCCACGCTCTTCTGGCTTGGTGACTGGAGACCCTCTGCCATTCTGGAACTCTTGCAAGCCCTTGCCCCTTTATCCTTTTTATCAGACTCAACTTCCATCCAACCGGCCTGTTGCAATTTATCCACGAGATGCATATTGAGGAGGCAGTAATTGATGAGGAAATGTCTGAGATTCAAGCTACATGTGTTCTCTACCTTCCTTTTTCTCCAGTGAACAGCGGCAATAGTTCAGCCTCCAGTGGTATCCAATCCATGTTCAAGAAAATTTCTCGGGTCATCACCAAGGCTCAAAAGCTCAGGTTCAAATTTTGATTGCTAAATATATCATGTATAGAGAAAAAAGTACAAGGGTTTTCCATATAGTTTCGGCAATGTGTGCAATTGACTGCTATTTGGAAACTTATACAGGTTCAAGGCATTAGAGCTGGCGGTGAAGAAGCTGCTGAACCAAACTGAAGCAGCAGAGTTCCTAGTGGCCCTCTCAGGAATTCAAGTTGCTATCCACCAGTTCGATGAGCACAAGAGATTGCAGAAGGGACCGGTTACCGTGTCCATCAAGCCTCAAAATACAGTTGAGACTTCGAAGCAGCCAAAGACCAACATAGAAGACAGAATCAGTCATTTTTTAAAGACTAGTGATAGCTCAGAACATGGCCAAGGAATTCAGCACGCCCTCTGCGACTGCGAGTTCGAAGAGCAGCGGGGGTTGCGAAAGGGGCCTGTTACTCGGTCTATTAGGTTTCAGGATGTATCTGAGACTTCAAATCAACCAAATATACCCTTTGAACAAGATAGAAGTGAAGAAAGAATTGTAGATGCTATCAGTGAGTTTGAAGACCAGCAGGGGTTGCGAATGGAGCCCGTCGGTCTGCCTCTAGAGTCTTGGGATGTAGCTGGAACTTCAAAGCAGGCAATGATCCGCTTGAAAGACAGGGTCAGCTCGTGGGAGAAGTTCAGCAGGATGGTGGAACAAGAGAGAAGTGGCCAAAGGATTGAAGAACAACTTTAATGCATGTAATCTGAGCGTTAAACAAATTCCATTACAGAGAGTTGGTGGTGTTGGCTGAACAATTGTTCAAATATGGGGCACATTTTATCAGCCGAATCAAATGTAATTTACATTTTGAGGAATCAAGACTCTTTTTCACGTTAAAGTTTGGCCATATTTGGCTGAATTAAAAACTTCAGTTGTCCTCGGAGTTATGCGTCTGATACATATTCAGATATAATATAATTTAAATTAATTTTTTTAAAAAATTAAAAACTTATTTAATCTTAAAAAAATAACACTATTAACATTTTAAAAATTAAATAAAAACTAAAAAAATATCTGAATCTCCCTTATTTAATATTCAGATAAGGGAGGCACTTGTATTGCATAAAAAATTAAGTTGAAAATGAGAAGTGGGCAGGGAACATATAGAAGTGCTCTCCTCTTTTTCCTTTTCTTTATTTAGAGGATCACTTTAATGGAAATCATAAATTTCCCCTTAATTATAAGATCTCTTTAATAATTAACTAATTGAATTTTAAAATGGATTAATGAATCATATATTGCAATCTTACCCGCCGCATATATCAGACACCTTTTTTTTTCAAACAAACTGATAATTACATTGACATTTCGACACATTTTTGGGTAAATTTTACTTTAGTCTCAAACTTTAGGAATATTACGTTTTAATATTAAGTTTTGGCCCTTAATCGCAGTTCAATCGAAGAAGAAAATATGCTTCTACCATTTTTGTACCAATATAATTATTATGAAAAATGTTAAAAATAAAAAATAAAATCATTTAACAATGTCAAAACTTCAAATGGAACAATTAATATGTTATAAACTAAACTGAAACTAAAATAAAAACATTATAAACTATAGATAGAATCTAAAACCAAATCTAATTATTACCAAAATTATATAAAAGTAAAATAACTAAATTATTACAATTCTATACAAAAAAATGGATACAAAACTACAAATGGAAGGTTCGAATCGTACTTACCTAATAAATTGTAAAAGTGACAGTTTTTCTTAACATATTAAAGGTAAATTTTTTTTTTAATAATTTGAGTAGTAATTGTTTATAATCTTTTTTAACTGTTAATAATACGCATAATATAAATACAATTGTTCGAACTCAGAACCTCAATAGAAAATAACACTTTATATAAAATAACATTAATTAAAAAATAATTAAATTATAGACTATATAATTAAATTATAAAAGATAGAAAAAATATTCAAGCACAAAAAGAAAAGTTCATATAATATAATATTAAGGGTAAATTATATAAATAGTCCTCAAACCTTTAGGAAACTTACATTTTGACCACTAAACTTTTAAAACTTGTACTACAATCACTAAACTTTTAATTTATTTTCAGTAAAGTTTAACTTTACCTCTAGTTAGTCTGCAACCATGACGTGGAAGGTTACTGTTATTTTCAACTTAATAAAATGAACTTTTAACCCATTCCAGCACCCTAAAATAGTTTCCTCACACAAAATTGATTGAAAACCCAAAAATTAAAATTCTACTTTCTCTTATTTTCTTTATTTGATCAACAATCGCTAAAAATGGAGACACCACCAACTACAATCCCAACATATTTTTATAGAATGTCAACTACCGTACGCACAACTTGAACAAATAATAATGTTGGAAGGAGGTTCTTTGAGTGCGTTAACTATAGGCATACATGCGTTTAGAAGAAATTATAATTTTTTATTTGGTGTGGTCCCCCATTAAATCGACGTTCTCGTGTTGTTATCATTGGTTTGCTAAGAAACATGAAAGCCATGGAGAGGGGAAGAAGGTTTGAGTAAGTGATTTTGGTGATTTGTTTGGGGTTTTATTGTACTTGATTGTGTTGGGTTAAAAAATGGATAATTTAGAATTTAGGGATTCTGTTTTTTGCCCTTATGTTTGCTTCTTGAAGTTTATTTTGATAAGCTGGAATTTGAACAAGAATTTGAAAGTTGAAGTTCAACATATAATTGAAGTGTTTATGAACATGAATTATCAATTTACCATTGTATATCTTTCAATGTTTGCTTATGTTTTCTACTTATATTTGTGAATGTTTATTTCAATATGAATTAGCTATGTGTGAGTGTTTATTTCAATATGAATTAGCTATATAAAAAATGATACATATTAAAATATGAAATAACTTCTTTTATTGATTAAACACAAAGAAGAGTAAAATGGTAGAAATTACATAACAATATGTAATGTTGTACCTTCTACGATTTTTATCTCAAAATACATCAAAATGTTATCATATACCATCGTATATTTTTTTAACAGCCATACCATACTGACTAAGCATATACAAAAAATATACAACAGATGGCACTTAACATCCATCATAATTCAATTTACCATTGGTTTAAAACTGCCACAAAATATAGATATTAAAAATTCCAATTTTTCTTTGGTTTGAAACTGTCAATTGATTCTTGTGAATTCTGCGTAACCTTATTTCTAGAGGGGGAATATGATTGCAACATTCATCTAACAACTTAATATGTAGTTGGTTGATGTTGAGATTGTGAGATTTACCTTCCTAATGTCCTTTTGATCTTCTTCCTTTGCTCATTAGATGTGAATTGACTTGACACTTGACCAGTTGTTGTAAGTCTTCTAATTTATAATAAAAAAATATAAACATGATAAGTTAAAGAAAATAATAGATAAACTACGATTGAGGCTAATTAAATACTCATAAGAAATTTTGATATTCTGACAGTTGATGGATAGAGTTATTCTTGTTATAGGTGGAGTAGTTATTGGTGGTGATGGGTATGCGCCAGTTGAAGATGATCGATGTACCAAAGGTGCACCAGTTGAAGATGATAGGTTTGGTGGAGGTGTTGGAGTTGAAACTACACGATGTTGATGTTGAAGGTGCCGGAAGTGTTAAAGGTGCACTTGCCATAGGTGTTGTAACAAGTGGTGTAATAAACCTCGAATTATCTCTCACCTAACCTTTACATGTTCTTATATTATGACATGTTATGTCACATTTCTTGCATATAAATTCTAGGGTCCTTTGCCCCTACTTAGACCACTTTCTTGCTCATTAGTAGCCTTTCTCCTTTATTTCTTAGGCCTATCAGGTGGTCTTCTTTGAATTAGAGGAAGCATTGACTCCATTGACGAGATTGATTCTCACTAATTTGTTCTTCTGATAGGGTAGTAAAATTGACGTAAAGTTAGATTTGAGTTAACCTATGATAGCATTTATCAATATAATTTTCTGACATCTCTTGAATCAATAGCATCACAGAGACAATATGTGCACATGGGATCCTTGTTAAAAAATAATAAATATATTAGATAGATGATTTAATTGATATAAAAGTAATTATATTCTTATCAAAATAAAATAATACCTGTAAGATCCTATTTCTTACAAAAACAACTTTTAACTTCTAGATCTTCCACGTGTTGATTAGATGGACCAAATGTAATTTTATATTTTAGACCGTAGCATGTGATGGCCAACACCTTTTAAGACAAAATGCATCCAATTAAGAAAAGAAATATATATATATATATATATATATATATATAAATTATATCATAAAGTAAGACATTTCAATTTCTACAACAGTTTCTCCAAAATCCAACAGCAGAAGTCAAATATTTGGTATGCAAAACTTATAAGGAGTTTGTTTCAACTCCGCTTGCAGTGCCCCGAGCGGAAAAGGAGCAAAAATTCCTTTGAAAATGGTATCGATGTCATTGGGAGTATCTTTCTCAGGTAAGCAACCATCATTTCAGCAACCATCATTTCAGCTACCTCCATTTTCACTACTTCCATTGCAAAAACCAGTTTCTCAGGTAAGCAACCTTTATGTTTTTCCTTTCAGGATTGCTCCAGTTTATGCTCGATTATTTCGCGGAAAATGTTATTTTGGTCCTGTCACAATTGATTGCTTCCGATGTGCTTGGAACCCGGAGTTTTGATTCTCTGAAGCTTCTTCGAGAAGTTCCACCTAGGAATAAGACAGAAGTTGCTTAATCTCAGATGGAATTAGATTCAGAATTGAAGAAGTTTAAGGCAGCAAGCAGTAGAAGTGAACATGCAAGAACAAGTGATCAGTCAAGCTTAAAGATTGATGTCTCGGCAGAATCTATCTTGAAACAACAACACTTGTTCTCTGGAAGCGCCTCTTCAAGTTCAAAACAGGCACCGAATCAATCTGGGTCGATAATAAGTCATCCAAGAAAAAGGGTTTGCAGCAATTATTGTGAGGGTAACCTGGTTTTGCATGCTACTGAAGCTGAAGACCTAAACGCAAGATTGAGGGAACTTGAAGAAGAAAGAACTTATGAAGCAAGCATTCTTGGAGATGGTGGTGGAAAAGAAAAAACTAATTAATGAAATGTGTGAGCTGTTTGAGACACTGCACTTCACCATCCTCGATAAGGACAAAGATGGAAAATTAATCATCATACCTTCTAGGGTATTCCAGTTTGAACCCTGGGTTTAAATTTTGCTTCTGCTAATCCTTATGTAAGAGACAAAATATTGTTACGAGTAATATTTCATAGCATTGAACCCAAGTCATATCCTAGCTATTCCAACTAACCATCATCGTGAAGTCATGCCATACTATAGCCTTACGATTTGGATTTATTCCGAGGCTAAGGCCTTGGGTCCTCTATATAAAGAAAATAATGTTGTTTCCGCAATGGATAAATGAAGATATAAATCCAGATTAACAATGGCATTGCAGTATCACTTCACTGTTTTTGTAACAGCAGAGTACCACATAAACCTTACCTGGAAACCATCTAAGAAACAGTGATGGTGATGAGGGTGGGGTTAAACAGGGACAAGGTCAAGGAACATCCAATGAAAGTTGTATTGGAAAATCCAGGTTTTTGATATCTTAAAGACCATTGTATTAGCAATTTTCGATCAGAGATGCACGTCCACTCAATTAGACATAGAGATTTAGGGCTTAGCAAAACAAAAACGTAAAGGCAAACCTTGAAAAGAACAAAACAAACTGCAGCGGAGTTTCCCAAAACAAACAAGATGACACATGATTATATTTTCCCTCATTCTTGAACTTTGAATTAGTTCATGTCAAAGAAATAAAGAAAACTTGCATTAAGGCACAACTCCCCAAGATGTAAAGGGGCCCGTCCCC